CACCAGAGTGAGCCTTCTCACTGTAGTTTCTTCAGCTTTATTCCCTAATATCGAGCACATAGCTGGCCCCAATAATTTAACACTAAGCCATCATTAAAATATCTGTCACACTGGAAATCAGACTGACAGACTGACTAAATGGTTTTACAAATTTTCTAGAAGACTCCCAAAAAGGTTTACCAGTCAATCTCTTTCTCTCTTCTCTGTCTTCGTTTACCATGCCCCATGAAAGCCTATCCTGTTTATCTCACTAATAGACAACACCTCAAGTAATATAACCCGCAGACTATCAGCCTGCGAAATAGTTTCCCTGCCTGAGCCTCCAGCCTCTCCACTCAGTTTTCCCACTGCTACCACGTTAATATTCCTCCACCTCATCACACCCAGCAAAACCCTGAGAGGGCCAGCACAACTAAAACAAAGGCCACCACTGTCAGCTTGCACACAGATCCCCTAAAAGACCTGTTAAAGCACAGACTGTATGCATGCCAACCTCCCAGAGTTTCTGGTTTGCTAAGTCTGCATTTTTATTATGTTCCCAGGTGACACTGATCTAATGGTCTAGGAAACATATTTTGAGAACCACTGACTCAAACAATGGTTCCCAATTACAGGATTCTAAACAAATATATTGCAATCACTGTAGGAGCTAAAAGAACAACAATAACAAAAACAAACAAAAAAATCAGAGGATCCAATCTCTAGATAAATCTAATATATACCCCGCCTTCAGAAACCCCTAGTCCAGAATGGCCGGAATAGCTCAGCTGATTGAGAGTCCTACTGTGCACCGAAAGGTTGCTGGTTTGATTCCCAGTCAGGGCACAAAACTGGGTTGTGGGATCGGTCCCGGTCAGGGCATGCACAGAGGGCAACCCTCTCCGTTCCTCTCACTCTGAAAATCAATAAAAATATACACTAAGAAAAAAGAAAGAAAAAAGAAACCATCAGTCTAAAGATACTCACACACAAAACTCTTAGATGACACTAGGCCTTCCACAACCTACACCCAGATCTACCTATCAAACTTACCTTCTAGTCCACAAAACAAACTCTGTTACCAATAAACCATTTTTCTTCCTAATTTCCCCTGAATAGCCTTGAACACTCATTCTTTTGTGCCACCTACCAATATAATCTTATGTGTCACTCTACCTATCTGGAGTGCCATTCTCCATCTGTGAATTTCCCAAGGATCAGCTCATCATCAACCTTAAAAACCTTTCTTAGTCCATTCGACATGTCTCAGATATATAACACATTTTGCCAGCTACTGTTTTTACATTCAGCAACAACAGTTCATTTATGTGTGTGTGTCATTGCTTATCCAGTTTATTGATGGGTGTATAGGCTAATATTACTCGGTAATCTGTAACCTGAAAGAATATGGGGGGGAATTGAAGAATACAGAGGCCTAAAAACAACTTAAAAGTAAAATAATTTTATTGTATAATAACTTCAAATGTTTAATGAATCTCTTCTTCAAAAAGGCTTTATTCTTGAATCTGTGCATTAATCATAAAGACGAATAGAAAAAAAAAATAGTTAAGAATCAATCAACCACAGATTAACTCAAATCATGACTAAGGTCATTTTTCTAAAACATGTTTGAAAAAAATAGGGGCAGAAAAAGTAGATAGGAAAGAGGGGGAGGAAAATGGAAGAACAGAAAGAACCCCGCCATACCTTGACCTCAAACCAATTAAACACAATACATGAAAGGAAATGTTATTTCTCGTGCCTTGTATTATTAGCTAAGGTTTAGTTTTATATTCTTTATCTGTCAAGTCACTTATGCCAATGGTATGTGTATGCATTAACTGAAATAGCAACAGTATTGCCAAGTGTGTGATTTAGGCACTATAAGCTACTGAGAGTTTTAACTCTCAGTTGATACCTCTTTAGTGTCTTAAACATATCTTGGGGGTGAAGGGAGTGCGGAATAGAAAAAATTACTGCTAATGGATACAAGGTTTCTTTTTAGGGTAATGAAAATGTTCTAAAATCCTAACACAGTAATGGTTGCACAACTCCAGAAATTTACTAAAAATCATATATCTATACTTTAAATGGGTGAATCTTATGACATGTAAGTTATATCTCAATAAAGCTGTTTAAATAAACAAACAAATGAATAACTCATTCCACCATATAAAGATAAGATCTCCAAATCACTCTATAAAACCACATGTGAAAAGTATAACTCATTTAATAAGCCAGAAACATTTTTAATCATTTTTACATTTCAAGTTAATGTCTCATAGAACTTAAAGTTCTTCAGTTTAATATAGATATTGTTAATATGAGATAATGAATTTTGTTTTCCAAAGTGTAGGAATTATATACATTTGACAAATCCAAAGTAAGTAAAGTACAGCATATCTTACTTTGTTCATAACCATAATTAATTATTTATGATAATATTTATGATAATATTACAAGATTCAAGCATCGTTTTGAATTTAGAACATTAGTCTTAGTGAGTCAAATATCAGGTCATAAAAACTTACTCAAAAGTATTTTGTAACTTTGTGAGAGTAGGATTATATAACCTGTAACATACTATTGTATTCAGGTTTTAAATGCAGTAAGTACTATGATACAAATAATTCCATTTAATATTATATATCCCAATAGTGTCTAATATGCTTCCATAACATAAATTATTTTTATTAGTATATCTCTTTACATTTGTATACTTTTAATCTATCTATAATTTATATTTAAAGCGTATTTCTCAAACCCAAAATGAGGAACTTATATTAAAAGATGCGAGATATATTCTTCAAAACGCTATTGTTAAAAGGTAAAGAAAGGCTATGGAAATGTTCAAGTTTAAATACAACTAAAGAGACATGAAAAGTAAATGCAATATCTAACCCTAGACTGAACTGTCTAGTGAAGGGAAAAAAAACTGAAATAAGCCAGTCAGAGAAAGACAAGAACCATATGATTACACTTAAATGTGGAATCTAATGTACAAAGTAAACTAACAAAACGGAAAAGACTCAGATACAGAGAACAGACTGACAGCTGTCGGAGGGCAGGGGGACTGGAGGACTGGATGAAAAAGGTGAAGAGATTAAGCAAAACAAACAAACAAACAAAAAACAACTCAAAGATGGACGACAGTATAGTGCTTAAGGGGATGGGGGAGTTAGAAGAGAGTAAAGGGGGGAAAAATGGTGATGAAAAGAGACTTGACTTTGGGTACTGAACACACAATACAATATACAGATGATGTATTATAGAATTGTACACCTGAAACCCATAAAATTTTATTAACCAATGTCACCTCAATAAATTCCATTTGAAAAAAACTGCCAAGCAGATCATTAATGGGTCAGCTGACAAAACTAAAATATAGACATTTTGACAATTTACAGTCAAACTGTTAAAAGGAAAATATCTGTGTGTATATATACATACACATACACAAATATCTATATGTACATACACAAAAAACTGATAATGTAACAAAATGTTAACACTAGTTGAATCTGAATAAAGAGGTATATGGATGCCCACTGTACTATTCTTATTGTTACCACCTTTCTAAAAGTTTGAAATTATAAAGTAATAGTGACATAAAATGCATTTCATAAATAACATGGTTGTTATTGTTGTTCTTAGTGTTTTTAAACTCTGCCTTTTAACTGAAGTGGTTAGTTCATTTACATTTAATATAATTATTTATATGGTTGGTATAAGCCTAACATCTTGCTATTTGTTTTCTATTCATTCTATCTTTCCTTTATTTTTCCTCTCTTGCTTTCTTTTAGATCAAATATTTACTTACTATTCAATTTAATCCCCTTTACTAACTTTTTACCTATACATCTATTTTACAATTTTAGTTTTGCTGTAGGGCTTAAAATACACATTCTGAACTTAACACAACTTACTTTAAACATCATACCTCAGATTAGCAAGCCTCAGACTAGCAAACTAAGATATAAAATGTTAAGTAACCAGATTCTCAACAATAAAGATATTTTATTCAATACACAAATATTCACCAAGTACCTACTACAGGCATATAGTAATTGAGAGAGCGGCAAAAAAAAAAAAAAAAAAACCCTCAGGGAACATAGTTGCAATCCATATCCTTTCTACTAAACCATCAATAAAGCACACTGACTTAATCCAAAAAAATGTCTAATGAATGAATAACCAAGAATTAATCATTCATTCCACCAGGAACAGGTCTATACTGTCAAAAATAACTACAATTTTCCATCATGATTTATTTATTCCTGCAAGACTCCTATTTGCCATGCAAGTAATTTCATTCCTACAGTTATATTTTTCAATTGTCTACATATTCTTAATTTTTTTCATATTAGTAGGTACTATTTGACCAAGACATTTCTATTTAGCTATGTCAAATTTGTTTCAGTTGACTCTTAATTGTATTTCTAATTTTCATCCGGCCAAATCAAATATGTTTTCCTGGTGTATGGAGAGAAAATATAATAAAATTTCTAAATACCATCTCTGTAGCATCACACCAAACAGTAATATCATTTCTCCAATCTTAACCAAATGAATCAAAATGATACATTTATACTTATAGATTTATTCTCATCTCAAAAGAAGCTCTTGACCTGTCATTTACCCAATATATGCAAGAGTTGACTGCAGGAAAATGGTCATAAAATTAAGCTACATATATGTTTATAAAATAGTGTTTAAGAACATTTTAATATTAACTCTTGATATATGACTAATTACAGTGAAGTAAAGTACCTTACAACAGAAAGCCAAATACTGCAAATCCTTAATTGCTAGGTACTAGGCATCTCCTAATTTTAAAGTCTGGTAAAAGAAGTTTTCTAAAAGGTAAAAGATGTTCATGAGGTCAGCAGCATCACCTTTAAATAGAAACATTCCTTTCTCCCTCTGTTTATGACTAGGGAATATTTGAGGTTGCTAATTTCTGTGTTGTTGTTCTAACCTGTTACTCTGAGGAGATGGCACCCTTTGTTGAAAGACCATACCTGGAGGACATCCTGGATCTTCACCCACACATCTGCCATGTCGTACAGTTTGACATCTTCCTGCTGAGGCAGTGGGGTCACGACGGTGTCCTGCAGGTATCCCAGGACCACAGAGTGAGCAGTGGCTACAGCATTAAACTTGTCAAACAGCAACTCCAGAAGTTCTAGAAGTAACCTAGCCAAGAAATCAAATAAATAAATCACATTAAAACATACACCCAAAGATGACTTACAATGACCTGCAAGGGAGCCACCAAACTAAAATGACCATGCAAACAGCACATTAGATTTCAGCAGTTTGACTTCAAACAAAGAAACTTTTTTTGAAAACATATCTAAGCCCTAGTTTCCTCTACTATAAAACAGAAACGATGTAAGAATTAAAAAACCAACTGTAAAGTTCCTCAACCAGCAGAACCAGCTCAATAAAAATTTGTTTCCTTTTTAACATATTTTAATGATTACAATCGCACTGCTCTATATTCTTAAGCAGTTTCTCCAAGGAATTCAGGCAATTCTTCAGCCAGTTCAGATGTCACACGGAATATGCTACTCCCTAGCAATAAATTGGGCACTTAGGTAAGGATGCCGATCGGTTTAGTCATGGAAAGCTATGCTTACTACCATTCAAATGCATGGTGTAAGTTGCCTGGAAAAAAAAAATGCACCTGCCAAGCAATCTGACTTTCACCACAGGGAGCAGCTTAGTCATCCGCATTATCTCATTTGTCACGGTGAGAAATGCTGGACACATATTATTACATCAATTTTATAGACTCAAGGACACAAAATGAGGTTGCAAGGCAGCTGGGCCTAGAACAAACGTTGACTCCCTTGCCAGTGCATCTGGCCACCTCCCTCTCTCTCTAGTTCTAGAACACAGACATTTGTTCAGAGACGGTATAGAGCTTTACAGCATGGACACAAAGGGATTCCTCCACCACTGAGACGCACAGTATCACTGACGGCCCAGGCTGGGAATCCTCCTTCCTCCTCTCAATTTGTATAGTATTTTATCCCACTTTTAAGGAATTTAACCACCTGTGGCTCCCATATGTGATTCAACTATTTCGAGTCACATTTATTTATACACAGACATTCTACCCCCCTTCTCCATCTCAGTCTTTCAGTGTGGACACTACTTTATACATCTCTGTACACTCAGCACGTAGAAGAGAGACCAGCAAATTATGCTGAATGAATTTAATGTGTATACCACAACAAGTGCAGAAGATATGGAATGTGACTTTTATTGCATATTGTGTGGCTCTCAGTTCATAGTTCCTAAGTAGATTCATAAACTAACCTGGAAAGGGGGAAAGGAAAGCAAAAGAGCTTGTCGGCAATGTCAATTAATAAGATCCTATTACCATAAATTAGAGGTTATGACTACAATCTCATCAAAACATACAGCATGTTATCTATTCCTCTGGCTTCTTTACTGACCAATTATTATAATTAATGTGCTAACGTGACGGCCAATAACTGTCTTATGATAAAACCCTAACATGTATTTGACATTTTAATTTAGAAGAGACAGAATCAATAAAAATGTATGTAGCGCTCCCAATCTAGAATACACATAACCCAGAATTTACAGAGTACATTTGTAAGTAAAAGCCATCCTGCCTTTGGAATGGTGATTTTTTAAATTTCGTAAAGGTCAATTCATATTTACATGCACAAATACCTAAAGCAAGTCTTCTTTCTCATCTGTGCTATTGGAGAGCTACTCAATTATCACATAGCAGTCAAAATAATTAATTAAATATAAGAAGTACTCTGTATAAAACTGGTATTTGGTATCACACAGAGTTAATACTTGACTAAGGGATGGTCCTACTTTCCAAATAAAGATTTTTGCTGACTATGTATCCCTGCAGCTCCCAAAATCAATCCACAGACCGTAACGTGTTTTTCAGTGATATGCAGCAAAATAAGAAAAATGGGACCACAGACTGACTTTTCACGAAGGTAAAGAGACTCAGTTTCATATTTTTTGTACTCTCTTAGCAGGAGAATCCGGTCCTTTCTCTCATGATGGCAGTTACATTGCCAAATGTCCCCCTGTGACAAATTAAAACTCCATAACCTTACGTCACACTCCAATGTCTTTGAAACCGTATTGTCCACGACATTCAGAAGCCTGGGGCACACTGGTGTGGTGTCCAGCTTCCCAAAGGCATGAAGGTCTGGGCACAGGCCTGTAGGCCAGCAGTGAAGCAGAAGGCACTGAAGAGAAGGGGCTCCTCTGGATGGAAGGTGCTGCTGCCTGGCCATCGCCCCAGCCACCAAGCTCGTGACTGCATACCGTGGCCGCCACTCAAGGACAAGACCGACTCAGCAACCAGGGGCAGTGCTCTGTGTAGAAGAGACCTAGCAGGAAGCGAGGTGTACGGTGAGATCCGTGGTATCTATTAACACCACAGAAGTAGCAATCTCTCCATACGATGCTGACAGAGCGCCAGTTCCCTCACTCCAAGAGGATCAAAGCCAAGACAGACCACCACAGCCCAGGGACACTGCGCGGAGGGATAAAGGAGAGACGGGCAGAATGGGTGAGGTTCCACTTGCTGCCTGTCTCCTCTGAGCATCCAGCCGTTCCAAAGAGAGGGAAGCTCTCCTCTGCCTTATCATCACATGATCATGGCAAGAGGAATAAACCCGCAGCTCCGCATCAAAATTAAAAACTTCTGTGCTACAAATGATTCCATCGAGAAAGTAAAAAGACAACCCACAAAATGGGAGAAAATATTTGCAAATCATATATCAGAAAAAGCATTTCTATTTAGAATATCTAAAGAATTCTTAAACTTGCAATAAAAAGACAATAACCGAATTTAAAAATGAACAAAGCATTTGTAGCTACCTCCTCCAAAAAAAAAAATATAAATGACCAATAAACAAATAGATGTTTAACATCATTAGCCACCGGAAATATGCAAATCAAAACCATGAGATACCACTCCAACCCACCAGGATGGCTATAATCAAACAGACAGGCAATAACAAGTGTTGGTGAGGAAGCAGAAAAGCTGGAACTCTCATGTAGTGCTGCTGCGACATAAACTGGTACCGCTGCTTTGGAAAACAGTTTGCATTTCCTCAAACCCTTAAACACAGAGTTATTACATGGACACAGCAATCTCATTCCTAGTATATACCCAAGAGATATGAAAACATATATGTGCACAAAAACTTGTATACAAATGCTCACAGCAGCATTATTCAAAATAGAAAATATTAAATTATAGTAAAACCATAAAAGTGGACACAAGTCAAATTTCCATCAACTAAATAACAAGCAAACAAAAGGTGCTATAGTCATACAATGGAATCTCATTTGGCTATAAAAGGGAATGAAGTACCGATACATGCTAGAACACAGATGAACCTTGAAAACAGGCTGTGAAAAAAATCACAGAAAACTACATATTGTATAATTATATTTATATAAAATATCCAGAAAAGGAAAATTTATAGACAGAAAATATATTAGCAGTTACTTAGGTGGGTGGGAAGTGACTGCCAAACCATATGGATTTGTTTTGGGTGGGAGACAAAAATGTTCCAGAACTAGACAGTGGTGATAGTTGCACAATCCTGTAAATAAACTAAAAAACACTAAATTGCAAACTTTCAATGGGTGAATTATATAGCAGGTGAATTATATCTCAATATATCTCTTTTTTGTAAACCATCAGCTGCGGCTCTGAGTGGGGAGAGTGAGAGCCCAACACCTCCCCTGTAGTGAAAAGGAAATACATGGAACAGCGGAAAAAGGAATCTATCTGCTGCCTCAAAAAGTGAAGGCTAACAAAAACCCGATTCCTTCGGATTCCTGTTGCCAGGACATGGTAGTTCTCTTTTGGGCCACTTTTTGTTTGTTTTTCCTTCTAATACCAGTAATCTGTAAGAAACAAAAGATTCACATTCTTTCCCCATACTGATCATTCCTAACCCTTTCATTATGAAACAAAATCTCTCAACTTCTCTCAACAGACTAAGTGCTCAGTCTGTAAAATCAAAGTATTACTTAATACCTGGTCCAGGAGCCTCACAGAACTGCAGGAGGGTCCAATTAGAAAATAAACAGAACTAGTGAAGGTAACAGAATATTCAAGAGAGGCAAGTCAGGATCCCTCTGACGGGGTTTGTGGCTTGAACAACTCTGAGGAAGATGTCACCTTTCCTGAGACAGAGAGAGAATTAAGGACAGAAATCTGGAAGGAGTGGTGTTGGGCTTAGGTCTGGATATGGTACATTTAAGGTGCTATGTACTTAGGTTGTTAGATGGGCAAGTCTGGAGCTCAGGAGAGAGACCAGTACTGGAAATTTGAAAAGTGGGAAATATTTGAGAGATGAGATCACACAAGGATAAGACGCAGAGCAAGAAAAAAGAAAAGCAAGGGCCAGAGCCAGCATCTCCTGAAATAGCAGCATTGACAAGGTGGGTAGGAAGCAGCTAGGGAGGAGAGAGCCAGGAGAGAAAACTTTAGGAGACAAAGGAGAAGAGAGCACTAGCGGAGTCAAAGGCTGCACCGAAGTCGGGTAAGGTAAAGAGAGAGATTTACAACCCGTCGTGTCCCACTGGCCTTGGCAAGAGGGTTTCAGAGGAAACTGGAAGCTGAAGGCAGCACAGGGGCAAGTGAACAGCCAGTAACAGAAAGAAAGCGAAGTCAACCACACACTCCGCAACCAACATATGCTCCTTGAAAAAGAAAAGGGGAAAGAAAGAGGACTCTCCTGATGCATCAAAGAAGAAAAGAGATTAGGACTCACTCACACAAACTGAACAGGAATCTGCAGGAGTCTGGCCCCATTTAAAGTGACGGGAACATGTCAATATTCATCTGCCCACACCACGCCAGACTGAGAAAACAAGGGTTTACTTTTAGCTGCAGATGCACTCAGGATGAACTAAACACACACAGCCCCATGAGAATCACTCCCCATGCCACTCCCACCACAAAGTATTAAACAAATAGAAGAAGAAATAAAACATTACAGTGCCATCAGCTCAGGTACTTAAATCCTTAGGCTCCAGGTTTTCACCATTGATCTAAAACACAACAGAGCAGGCAGAATCATTCAGTTACTAGGTGGTGCCTTAAACTGGACTGAAAAACAGGAAACCTCATATGGGAATAAGCCTAAGAACCTCAGTGATTAGAA